TAGAAAAATAACCTAAAAGCGGTCGTCTGGACTCATCTGCGTGGAAACTACAATATCATGTAGAGCATATGTGTACAATATTGATATAACAACACTGTAACAAGATTTCCCAGGAGAACCAAACAAACTACACGTTAGTGAATACACAAACGTATAGACTATGAAAATATTAAGAAAATTGCCAAGTACAATAGTGAGTGTGACGGTTACAAATAGTGTGTCTTCAAAATAACTATAGTCTGTTTGAACCAGGCAAAACAAGCTCGTTGTAATAATAAATACTTTGTTGTCAGTATTTCAGTATTTATTAGAAAAAGCGTAATTTTGCGGAAATCCATTACTATAACCGTGAAACTATAATATGACTGCACGCTAAAGCGAAAAAATAATATCAGAGAACTCGGTGTGTTATTCGACGATCAATTGACGTTCCGCAATCACTAAGCTTATACATATATGATACAAAAAAGCGGGACGTATGCTTGGTTTCATTTGTCGAACATCTCAACCTTATAAAAATCTAAGAGTGTCTTACTTTCATGCTACCGCTTGGCTAGGAGCATTTTAGAGCATGGAACTGTCACCTGGGAACCTTTCTACTCAATTTATTTTGATCGCATTGAGAAAATTCAAAATTACCGTACAGGATGTGGTTGGATTTTGTAATCATATAGTGAAAGATTGTTTAAATTTAGTGTACAAAGACCTCACGTGAGACGGAAGTATATGTAATAAGTATACTTACATGAGGTATTCGCGTGTTAATTATCCGGAATTGCTATCTCTAATCAAATTTAATACGCCTTTCAGAATTCGCCATCCGAACATCTTCTTGCTGCAGGTTTATAAATATAACAGATCCAATTATAACCCAATTATCTGTATGTACCGTTTGTATAATATTGTAAATAAATTAATCTGGTTGTGAATTATATTGTGTTCTAAGATAAAAATAAATAAATATCTACTAACTTCTACACCCAGTCAGTATCCGCAAGAGCTGCTGTGTACCGCCGGCAACAACTCTCGTAAAACAAATACCTTCTGGAATAATTTAATAATGATGTCAAATTACCCTTTAATCCATGCATCGACTGACCATAAATTATTCTAACCACAATTAATTTAGTACAACTCACCGTATCAGCACGAGCCGAAACAGGGTCTTGATTGACCCCAACACATATCTGCTAATCAAAGAAATAATTCTATAATCCAAGATGTTAGCTTACAAATGTCTATGTTACCGTTACTTTATTCTTTATAATTTTAACTTCCATGTCATATTGTATTGGTCGATAAATTAATTATTTACTTACTTAATGTCTTCATGGTGAAAATGGGACCTAAATTCTTTCAAGGTTCGAGTCGCATCTCAGAGTGCCAGGGACAATATAGATTGTTTAAGCATTATTCATTAAAAATATTAATGTCCTTTAGAAATATCAACTACTTGCAGTCTCCGTGATTCTATATTTCGACTGCTCGCCACTATAATGTAATATACTCAAAATCCATCAAGCAATTTTTCTCTCTAATATGTATCCGTAGTGATAAAAGGATCTAGAATAAATATATAGTTAGTTTTATTTGCAAAGAACTTGTACATTATTGCACCAAATTAAAATATATTAGTGTACCAGTATTAAGTATCCAGCTAAAATTGTGTCCTCTTAATGAAGCTTGTATAATTGGATTTCTTTATAAGGAAAGCTCGCTTCTCCTAATCCAATTAAATGGAAGATAAATCTGATAATATTACTTCGCTTATTTTGTTATCTACTACACAAATTTAATTATTATATGCTAATTGATCCCTTCAACTTTGCTGTGTCACGTGTAGGTATTTTGAGATACTGTTTTCCGGCTGGCTGAGTGCAACCTAACTCAAGTGAATTTCTTTGGAACTTTTGTAATATTAATAGATATTGGATTTAACATCATAAAGAAATTCTCAATTGTGGAAGAATATAGAATTCGTAAAAATCCAATTATGTATTATGTTGTTTTCAAATACATATGCTATGTTTTCAAAGTTTTATTCATTTCATGTTGTAACTTTTGTAGCACTGCTGGCCTAACCTTGCATTGCGTTTCATAAAAGTCAAGATTTAAAAACATACTTTCTTTTTAATTAACCCCTTATCTTACTTAAAATCAGTAGGTACTAATCGGACGAACATATTGAATTATTTGTATTTTTAAAATTTCTTAAATCGTATTACAAAATAACTGTTGTAATTAATCTCAGTTAAGGTAAGAATAATTTTACATAAAAATTGGTCAAGAAATCTTCCGTTATTTCTTATTAAAAAAGGAATGGCTTTTTATGACGCCGAAATCATTCAACTCTTTGAAGGCTGTTAATTGACTTCTAATAAAGCGTCAGAAGCAGACATTTTTCAAGCCTCCGGGCAGAGTGATGTCGAAATTACTAAAACAGAACATGTCAAAGCGACCGGCGAACCTCTGACGCTTTTCTTTATAAAGAATATTTAGCATTTTACGTAACTCACGATGACAAGCTAAAACTTTTTGATGCGCATCGATGTACTTCGTTGGCTTGAACTCTATACTTTGATTTAGATTTATCGCCAGGCTGTATCTCTTGATCTGTGAAAACTAGATAGTTGAAATATACAGGTGATGTATTTCCGTTGCCGTTAAAACAAAAAATATAGTAAAAACAGAATAAAATCAATTTTTAAGGGAGGCTCAAAAGCAACAACTTGTTTTTTGGTTAGTTCAGAACCCTTTGTGCGTGACTCCGACTTGGATAATTAGACTGAAACACATCAGCCCATTCTGCATAACGAAACTATGAAACTATGGCTTGGTAACTTAACTAAATTCACAACAATCATTTTAGTCTGATTCCTATTATTCTCTCATATCATTATTATCTAGCGTTCTTAACCCAAGACTTCTCCATATTGTTAACCTTTTTAATCTCTGTCCATTTTCATAATACACGACTTTTCATATTTTATTTAATCTACAATTTCTGACTAATAATCATCCTTTATTTTCTTTCGCCTGTAATAAATTATATCAGAAATAGCAATAGAACGTTTTACCGTGCCAAATTTCATTAGAAACAAAAATACTGAACAATTTTGTGTATAATTAATTATTTTCTCATCTGAGCCAGCTGTTAATGTCGGTTGATTAATAAAATTTTCCATCTCTCGCAGCTTCAACAAAGAACTGACATTAACATAATTAGCGCGTCATGCAAATTAAGATGCAGCATTTAAAAACAAGAGATCAAATTGAATATTGCCTAATAAAGTACTCGATGAATAACAGCTATTCATTTGAGACATTAAAATCATCCACTTCACTGCGTTCTGTATAAGGTTTGGTATTTTTAAATTAATAATTATTTGTGTTAAAAATATATAAATCAAACATACTTGGTTTTAATAATTCTTGCACCAATAAAAAACTACATCATCAGAGAGTAGCATAGATTAAATTTTTCATTCAATAATGTAACAACCGTATAATACATAATACAACACATAAACTTTAGTCAGGAAACTTGTAATAGTTACCAATGTTATCTAAAACTTCAAAGCGTTTACATCGGTAGTAGAAACTAAATTCTGAAAAGTAGTGTTTTATTTGGCTCTTTATTGGTAATCAAATAAATACTGTATTGTATTTATACTATAATGAATATTAATAATTTAAAACTGCAGTCATGGCCTATTTTGCTATGTTTAGTTTACACTTAGATACGGACTTATAATATGGAGTAAAGGCACAGCCACATAAAGTTGTTGTCGCACAAAAAAATACATTAGAGCCATTTGTAATATCGCACTCAAATGTCTCATATATACATTTTTTCGAATCTTTGAATATATTGCCACTTCCATGCCTGTATTTGGAAAAGAGGAAGTTTGTAAAACAAAATAGCCACTTTTAATCGCAAGCAAAAGAAAATACATCAAGTAACTAAAGGAGTTTGAACAGATTTGTCCAGATTGAAGTTCCGAAAACATTACGTTTTAATAATAATAGATAAAAGAAGGCTATCATTTATTTTAATAATTTTATATCGTTTAGATGATCGTTTAGTGTGGCTAAATATTAATATTATTAACTTTCAGTAGTAGCCGCAAAATTGTATCACTGTAACCCTATTTAAAAAAAAAATATTCTCCTACAACCAATTAAAAAAAAAATGGTGATAACTACCAAACAATGAAAACATTAGCAAAATACTTTATGATCACCACGTAAAACGCATTAATAAGACATTAACTACATAACTCGGTTAAATGTTGCGTTCGCTTCAGTTGAACTCATTATAGCACCAAAGATATCATCAGTCACACTTTTGCAAGTTAAGGCGCTTTAAGTATTTCAACCGTAAGATTGGGCTTCCTTCCTAAATTTAACGCTTCTTAACTTTGATGCCGTATCTCTCACAGAACTGACAATGTTTGAGTTTATTTATCACGCTCAACTCAGAACTTTTATTGTTACGGAAATCTAAAGAGAATATAATTTTTTTTAGTACTCTTTAGACTATAAATACTACGTAACGGACTTATAATGACGACATAAATGTTTAAGCTACTCTTTAACAGCCGATAACGTACCCAGTACAGCATATTTAGAGAAATATGAACATAATTGGTTGTCAAAGGTTTAGAAAATTATATCGAAAACGATTACTTTTTTACATTACTTGCCCAATACATCTAAACTATTCGTTATTTTGATAAGGTCTGATGTTCCTAAAGGTTTAATTTTATGACCACTGTCATTAATGATTATTTTTTATACTACAAAAGGCCTTCCTGTCTTCGAGTTATTTTTTTTATATTTAACTTTTAACTGTTGATGATTCACTTTTTTGTAGTGGCTTTGACAGTCGGTCATATCATGCCTCGTTATATTTGAGCTATGACGTGTCAACTAATTCACAAAATAGACTATGAATCTTTTTTTAAAAACACTGACTCTTCTTTTTTCTGTCTCTTCAGGTATATATTTCTGGCGATATATACAGCGGAGATGATAATCAAGTGCATCGCGAAGGGTTTCATCCTTAACAAGTATACGTACCTGAGGAACCCGTGGAACTGGCTGGACTTCGTCGTGATCACTTCGGGCTACGCCACCATCGGTATGGAGGTCGGCAACTTGGCCGGCCTGAGGACGTTCAGAGTTTTAAGGGCACTCAAGACTGTCTCCATTATGCCAGGTAATTATAACCATTAAGTTAGTTGCCATTAAGTAAATATAAGAGTATACATTGCTCCTGCAGTATTACATCTCGTGGCAATATATATCGTCCTTTCTAAAGCTCTCTGCTGCAACTTTTCGGTAGACTGGTAGGGAAAGCCTAATTAAACTAAAAAATAAACTGGTAGGTAATGAGGCCGGCATTTGTACATTTTTATTTGTGCAATAAAACTTAAATAAATAAATGTCCATATATTTCTGCTAGTACAAATCAACATGCTTCAGTGTTATAGGTATAACAAATGTTAGGTTATAGCTACATTATTTATTATCATTGACATTATCAAAATAAAAGAAAGCCTTAATGACTCATTTACACTGGTCGATGGGATCACGACATGGAGTGCTAGCAACATTTGTACGCTCATCTCATTGGTCAATAAAACAATGCCCGACCAGTGAAAGCGAGGAACAGAAATCGCCTGCATGTCGCACCCATATCATAGACCAGTGTAAATACATAAGCAAAATATCAGTAATTCCGCGAAATTTTGGCAAGGCCGATCCAATACGTTTTAGATGGCCAGAAATTAATATATTGAGTTCTTCTGTTCTTGGATGACGTGCTAAAGAATAGCGCAAACATCAGTATTGTTCTTTAAAAAAATCAACGTGGAATTCGACGTCCAGAACAGCGCTACCAGATCATAGTTGTTCTATCAAATAAAACTAGCTTCAAAGGGTAACAATGCCTCATTTTATTGAACCTCTATGCAGTGATAACGCTGTACTCGACTTCGAGTTGTAGTTCGTCCTCCGTGTTAAACAGGAAAATCTGCCAAATGGAACCATCTTGAAACTTATATTGAAAGCGAGTTAATTATTCAAGATACTGCTATTGAAGTCAGGCTGTTATCATTTAATAACATACAGAAAATCGCCATCCGACTTCAATAGCAGTTACTTGAATAATTAAGTCGCTTTTAAGTTATTTATTTTTCCCCACTTTTTTGATGTATGATAGTCGGTTCTATTTTTTTGTTTAAAAAAATATATTTCAAACTTTAAGCGGCATCGAAATCAGATGAAACTGAGAATCTTCCTTTTTATGTCAGTTAAAAAAGTCTCGAACAAATAACTATGAGAGGGCTGCGTTGGTCGATGAGCTCGAGGCTGTTATAACGCTACTGGACTATAACAGCGATGACACATAATCTATATTTATTAATGCGAAAGGTCACTCACTCATCGCGAAATCTCAGAAACTACAAGTGCTAGGAGTTTCAAGCGGGTTCTTTTTAGAACTAAGACGGGATTTTATGAAATTCAACCTCTAAGGGGCTAAATTAGTGCATGAAAGTTTTTATGGAATTTTCTCACATCTTGACTAAAAACTAGATACCGCGGGCGAGGCTGCTGGCGGAAGGCTAGTATATTATATTACTCACGAATTCTTCTATTCAATGATAGAACATCATTTTAGAAGTATAGTTAATAAGGAACCCTAATTCCATGCGGTACTCGTGAAACAGGTCTTGCCAACAACAACAAGGTAGAAAACTACCTTGGCAATAGATATTAAAACACAACATCCTATTTTTATTTCGGTATTTAAAGGGGAGACGTGTATTTTTTGTTGAAACTTGTTATTAAGTTCAAGGCAAGTTGACATTAGATATTATATGAGTCCACTTATTACATCGAAGCACTTATAAAGCTTTTATAAATGTCTATATAAAAACTTCGTTTTTATTATTTACGAAATCAAGTGATAATGTTTTTGATAACAATAACAAAAATAATTTCAAAAAATATTAACAAGTAACGGAGTAAATAATTACAAACCGTACAAAAATATTTTCTAAATCATATATATTTATTTTTCTATATATTAACTTACGTTTAATGACATCTATAAAATAACCGTTATAAACATAGTATAGTTATACTTCTATTTAACGGTGTGAACAATAACAGATGTGAGAATAGTTTACCAGTAAGTAGTAATTTGTGTTCTAAATAGTTTTGCTCCAAGCAATTCTAAACTCTATTCGTTGCAAACATGTGTATCTTTAAATATTAAAAACGATTTCATAGTTAAAATAAATAATTCATTTCATTAAGTAACTTACTTATTTTTATTTCGTACGAGTTCTCTATTAACTTGTATTTAATAATTTATTTAATCGTTTTCGTAACAATAACCTTGAAAATACGATTAATATTAATCTCTTTTTACTTTATTTTTTTAGGCGATGACTTATTAAAATGATATGAGAATGTAATACTAAGATTATAATTATAATCAATTTTACAATCAATACAACCTTTAATTATCAAGAAGTTAACAAATTCCATATACTTACAATTGAGGTCGCTCCTTTCATTATTGGCACCATGGCTATTTTGGCTCTCGGGTATATATGCCTCTGCTTAAATTTCTATATTCTACTATATTATTGCCGAGAAATGAAATAAAGTATTGTGTTTTGTTCTAACAATAGTTCAGCGACCCAACTGAACTAATACATACGTAATTAATCCATTATTACAAATTAAGCCACTGGTATCCTTAAAACATCACGTCCGTGGCCGTAACAGAAGGCCAACTTATCACCTACATTTGACCTCCATGGTGGCGCTTAAACATAAAGTACCTGGGTGACCGCTTTTCTTTTTTTGGTAAATAAAACCTATTTAGAACCATTTTTTTTATTTTATTTATTTATTTAAACTTTTTTGCACACAGTACAAATGGCGGACTTAATGACATTAGGCATTTATCGCACCCGTCTCTAAATTTTATGAATATCGTTGGAGCAGGTTTTCGATATAAAGATTGTACATAATATATAAGAATTTCTTGTTTAAAGCTTTAAGATAAATTGTAAATCTAAACATAACCCGTTAAGATTGAAGTTTAGTATGTATAAAAAGAATTTACCCGTATAACTGGTCTCTTACAAAGCACGTATCATTTTCACAGTCCGTCTGTTGGCAACAGATCGAACATCAAGCTCACTCAGCGAGGCACACTAAACGTCCGACCGTCGTCATAAAGGGGCATCATTAACATCTACGTTACGTTATGCCCGCTACGTCACTATGACACGATACCGAAACACGGACTCTATATTTGAATCACTCGCTAAATTATGTAAATGACTTTTTATTTTATGTTTCATTAATAAGTACTTTGATAAACTCGTCGTCATTATCTAGTGGAAGTCATTTGTTTGCTTAAAACATTTTAGTGGCGGATTTCCCCCTAGGTCATAGTAGGCCCTGGCCTATGGCGGCCGGACATTATTAGGAGCGAAAATAAAGCAAAATATCGACATCGCTAAGATATCCTATCCTAAGGCTAGAATCATAGCGAGAGAGTTAGGCGGTCGCACCCCTGATGCTAGCAAGAAGAAATTATATTTTTTCATATGTCATAAACACATCATCATCATCAGCCCTTTTACGTCCCCACTGCAGGGGCTCAGGCCTTTTTTATGGATGGTTAAGGAGAATGGGCTATGACCATCCACGGTGACCTAATGCGGATTGGAGGGTATTAACGACTGCAAATGCTGCCGGGACCAACGGCTTAACGTGCTTCCCGAAGCACGGAGTAGCTCGAGATAATAATTTTTTGGTCACCCATCCCGTGACCGACCCTTGCGAAGGTTGCTTAACAACAAAGATCGCGAGCCGCGGCGCTTATCACTACGCCACCGAGCTACTAAACAACAAAATTGAATCTGTTTCATTAAACGTTGTCAAGAAAATAAATTCATATTTATATTCATTACATCATAGCATGCAGTCTGAGAGGCACAATTTATCTAATGCGATAAAAGATGATTTGCAATTGATGCTCAGCTTACAGCAATTCTATTTTGTGCTCTAATCTCGCCAAATCTCAGCGTAGAGGGCACATGTAGTAAACAAATTAACTTTTTGAATATTATGTCATTTGGAAATTAAATGATTCTCTTTTTTCTTGCATCCTTCATATACAGCAAATGGCGGATTTAAGCATCCTCTGCCAGACGGTCGATAAGATTGACTATTCAAATACAATACGGGCGCAACAAACATATAATACAGTCATATAAAATTACTGAAATGTTGGAACAAACTTTTAGCTTTAGACATAAGCGCTCGCCTGTTAGTCGAGCGTTTCAAAATAGATCATCACGTCCGTGTAAACGGTTTTTAGGCACGGGGTAGGTACTCGTAACATCCCGCTTAGATCACCCTCTGAAGAGGTCCCCATTAAATGTGCTATAAAAATCACGAAATCGTTTGACAAGATAAAAACATACTCTTTAAGGCGTACGCTATATCTTCCAGAATTTAAGACCAGTCATTTTACTTTGTATACTCATCTTTATATAATTCTATCAACGGCAACTGTAGCCGTGTTACACGCATGCTGGTTTTAGGGTGTCGCCATTTCTGAGGTACGAATTCGTTTCCGGTCGGCTCAATGTATAATATGAAATTTGAAATTTTCTATCACACCTGAAAGGTGATATCTTCGTAGTTTTATATACTTCAATATTACAATGACTTTAGCTAATTAAAATTTAAATCTGGGCAATGTCCATGATGTTACCTAATATTTATTTATATTAGGCAAGATCGTGTACATTGGTGTTTTGTCGCCGCTTGCTTCCCGTGGGTGAAAGAATTTTGAAAATTGGTTCGAAAATTCGAAGCTTTTCTCTTTCTAATATTAGTATATAATCGGTTTATCATTGACGAATATCGTGGAGAATGTATAAAAAAAACATTCTCTTTAAATTATTTTAAAAATGGAGTACTGATTTTGTACAGTAAATAGATCACGGCATGCCTATCATAAAGACGTCATTGAATATGTCCAAATGTGGTCACTAATGCTACCAAATTATCGTTTCTTGCGCCGTTGTAAACACACATTTAATGGTCCATTAAAATGCTAATTTCCATCAGGTCTCGTTAGGGAAATGGGCCATTAAAATTTTTCAATTACGAATCGATATCGAGGTGAACGATTAAGGTCCAGTCGTTTGACCAACGCGATGACGTCATAATATATACTTTCGAAAGAAAATAAAGAGCCTTGATGTATTTTTTGAATTAACAAATAGTCGATAAATTCTAAATATATATTCAACTTATTACTTAATGTTTCACCGGCATGGTTAAACCACAGAACAACAAAAAACAAAAAACCCCGCTTGCGTGAAAAACAATTAACTGACAAGGCAGGAACAAGATACAAAAATTATGCAACATGATACATAATATGCAGTCGGAGACATTATTCAATTTCATGCCTCCGACTGCATGTAATGTATGTATGATGTTGGATAATTTTTTATCTTGTTCCAGCGTCCGGCGTTTCGCTGTTAATTGTTATTTACGCAGGCGGGATTTTTATTTTATTTTAATTTTATTTGTGTCTTTTTATTAGACAAATTACCAAGTTTGTTCGTAAAGTGAAAGAACAAATTCTATATTTTTAACTTTATCATTATATTATTTTTATTAGTATTACGGTAATGATAATCATGATATAACTTTTGGAGTCCTTATATTTAACTCTTTAATTTGAAACCCATATTGTAAGTAGTATTTGAAACATTTTTTTTTATCTTTAAATATAATGGCGTCGCACAGCCGCTATATTTGTTTTAATTTAACGTTACCTATCTAAGAACACTTGGGCTACTAAGAAAAATCTAACGATACCTGAATTATCTAAATCCGTTCAAAGGTTCTGAAATTAATAAAGAATATAACATGCAAATATAACCCTTCCTTTGCAGTCGGGTAAAATAGAGAGTGTATGTCACAATACAGCCACATAATAACTAGATACAGAAGTAAATGTACACACGGCTGCACCGCGGTTTACCACAATATATCTAATTACTCCATTTGATTTTAAATTCTACCGTTACAACATTAAAGACAGATTTGTATAACCTGATGTGCTATTCACTATTATTTGTAATAAACGAGGGAAACAAGCCTACGCACTCATAGAAACTTTTTACACGATGTTGTATATTAAGACAGGAGCATTATGAATGTATGAATTATTCCGGTACATACATGAGATATAAAATACAATTTTAGATTAAATTTTATATATTGTGATGTAATATGACAATAAAATCATTATATAAAGGCAATAAAGTATACAATATGTGCATGCGCCTGCTTTGCTCATTTATATTTATATTACCTAATGTATCTAGTTATTTTGCGCGTCACCCTCCCCTCCCCTCCCAACTATCTCCACAGAAATCAAACTGTGCTTAATGAAATTATACTATTCAATTTTTTTCATATCTGAACGGTACCCACTTTTATAATAAAATTGCAAATCTCATTTCCATCATAACTCTTTGTGTATAAAACTACAATGGCTCGAGTAAATTAGAACTATCTGACTGCAGACAGTGGTACCCAAGAAAGTAATTTATTATATTACTATCTTTAAAAAAATATTGGATTACAAAAATACTTACAACTCTCATAGAACTTGGTAGCTGGTCTACGATGAGATAGGAGATTGCTACGAGCTACGCGATGAAGATCTATATCACCGTAGCTACTTTCGTCGTCATAGACTACGAGTTTATTGAAACATGAAACGTCAGATAATATTCGACGATTGAAGTTTTGTTTTGTTAAGGAATTGTGCGCATTGAAGCCATCTTAAATATGAACTTTGTATGGCTCCTTTAATCGAAGTTTGCGACGATAATCTCTACCCAAATATAAAGAATTTGCTGACTCTCACCCCTAAGCAATGCAACATTCGATACCATTATAAATTTAAATAACTTAACTGTTTATATATTTTTTTGTAAAAAAATCAAATTATAATACCTATATTGCTAGTTAAAACTAAAGAAACCTTTTCCACCTTACAATTAGGACAAATTTATCGTATCAGCAAACGCCCACCTCTTAGCGCGATAAAATCTGAAGCGAATAAGCGATATATCTCAAGTGGGCTTACGTCAATCAACCTCTGATTCCCAAACGTGATTGAATGATTCACAAGTGAATGATTCGAAAACATTATGGAGAGATTGAAGACTGAAATAATTTGCTTCTAAGCTTACCTCGCAATGTCGTATTCGTTAAAAAGACATTAATAAGATAGTAATGCTTTGTAAATAAGAGGAAAACCTGTAAGAAAAATTTCAGTTTTAGAACGTTGAATTTAATGATTTATTTTAGGTCTATTCTCATTAAACCGACGTTCGATGCATCGTAGACTGTTGCGTCATCAACACTGCGATTCCGTAAAAATCCTAACTCAAATTCGAATTTGCTCAGGTTCAGATTTTTAGCTTTAGCTAACCGTGCACTGCTGTCCCCACTTAGAACGCGTGGTGCTTTATGTCCCGTTCTCCTTATCTGATGTTATACATAAATGAAATGATTAATTATAATGAATTCCATTTATTTACATTATCAAGGTCTGAAGACTATCATCAACGCACTGCTGCATTCGTTCAAACAGCTGGCTGAGGTCATGACGTTGACGATCTTTTGCCTGATGGTGTTCGCGCTGTTCGCCCTGCAAGTCTACATGGGCGAGTTGAGAAATAAATGCGTGAAGAACCTAGTCGTGCCACTGGGAGAGAACTTCACGGATGAAATCTGGTCGCAGTAAGTTTGTAGACAGCAACTTACTTGGAATTACCCAAACAGACCGTATGATCAATTAGAGCTGAATATCTTAATTAATTAAGTTACTCCTCTAGACAAATGGCAAACTTCTCTTCATTTAAACAAAAGTTTGGCAACAAGTATGTTAATATTATTAAAATTAAAAAATGTGAAAATTAATTACAACAAGTCACTGTTTATAAATTTTGAATAAACAGAAAACGATAGCATTTTAATGAATAGAAACCTTATCGTTTGACTATGCGCCTCAAAATGCTATTAATGTAATTTAGAATTTACACCGAAAATAATTTAAAAATAAACTATAAGAACCTAACTCTCAGATTTCTTTATGAAATGTATTATTACACCTGATTGAGTATTGAGGGTCGGTGTAAATTTGACGACAAATCAATCAAACGTCATGCAGACATTAATAGATAGTTTTTTATCCAGGTGGATCAGCGATCCCTCCAACTGGATTGTGGACGATGAAGAAGTGCCTATAATATGCGGGAATCTGACGGGCGCGCGGCACTGCCCCATCGGGTTCACGTGCCTCTGCGTGGGACCCAATCCAAACCACGGGTACACCAATTTCGACAACTTCCTGTGGTCCATGCTCACCACCTTTCAACTGATCACCCTCGACTATTGGGAGAATGTATATAATATGGTGAGAGATCATTTCATTGTGTTTTATAACAAAAATATAAACGATATCTGATAACAAAAACTTACACAAGTAGGGTCTTGGTTTTTCTTCAACAAATTTAAATAATCTTCTTTTAAACTCCACTCAACCTACCATGTTCACATACTTTCTAACTGATATACTTAAGTACAGTCAACAGCACGTCAGGTTATACAAAACAGTCATATTTTTCCTCTCGATTTGACACATTAATACATTAAAGGTAGAAGTCAGAATTCATTTATGACATATTGTGGTTACCTGCCGTGCAGCCGTGTTTACCTTACTTTTAACTATCATAACAACTCTCAGGATTTTTTTAAATTAACATTATACATATTATGTATCCTCAAGTTTTAAAGAGATGTGCAGCTTGTCTTAAACCCATCTAGGGTTTATATGACAACGTCGTTGGACTATCTTAGCTGCCGAGGTATTCTACCGAACCTTTTTTATTGACATTTTTTAAAAGTTATTATTTTTTACTCTAGCACTCTTCCGAATATCTAATAATGTAACCGTGTCATTGCCAATTTAATTTTACCAGTCTGTTCTCTAGGTATATTAGAACACAGATCTGCATCACGATTTTTCTGTATTTCCATTGCATCTTTTGAGTTTTCTTTTAATGCTATACGTGAATATCCAAATTAAGTCAATTTTTTTATCCCTAAAAACTTTATTTGAGATATTATACCCAAACCATTTTTAAATAATCCCATAATTCTCAATAAGGTGTTCGCTTCATTATATTTATATACCTTTAAAGAATGTTCGAATTCACGCTACATTCCTAAGAATATGTACAAATTCAAATTTAATGAAGTCGACTTCAAAAAGATCTTTGAAGTCGAAAAGATCGACTTTAAAATTCTGAATCTCATTAAGAGTTATGAAGACAAAACCTATATTACACTCGAAAGCCGTATTTCTATAGTTCCTTACAAGAATTAATTCCTCGTTGGGGGTAACCTTCGTGCTCGGATATAAACAGCTATCTAACAATCTACCTGAATGTTTGGTTAGGACGTGCCTTACCACAACAAGACCACTCATAGTACGCCCAAAGGAGATTTAATTAAGGTCTCGGTGCGACATTAAATTATGAATATACGCTTATGGATAGATATATTTAAGATAGATATTATGGCAACTAAAGAGCTATTACTACGGTTACAAGATATGATGGCACATACAATTAACATAATTTGGAGTTATAAATTCATGCTGCTCCAATAAGTCACTTGCTCGATTGTGTTTGTGAAGTGAAGCAACTTTCAATCGGTATCGATCAATGGATGGGTGTCACAAAAAAAAATTATATCGACTCGACGTGCTTCGGAACACTTTAAACCGTTAGTCCCGGCTACATCTGCAGTTGTTAACACCCTCCAATCCGCATTGGGCCGGTGTTGTGTGTATTATCTCATTAGCCCTATTCAATTCCATTCATGGGAAATTCTGTGCCCCAATAATGGGGACATTAAAACTATAAAACAGTCTTATCTTCCCAATTTTATATAGGCCCGAGTTTTCTCATGGTATTTATTAACAGGTCTATAATATGCAACTTTGTCATTGAATTTGAAACGGTTGAAAGCAAATGAAATGCGATGAATCAGATGAATCGTAAGTCGCTCTTTCTAACAATCGGGACCAGAGTCCAGTAGGGGAAATTACATCATACGCAGGTGTTAAAGGCTATAATTTTGTCACAGGAAACAGCTTGTTTGATCTCTACAAAACTATATATTTTATCATTTTTAAAATGATAATTAACTTAAATTGCAAAATAGCACCAATGTCATGTTAAAAATGTATAGTAATACCTAAAGTTCTTCCAATCAGTCTCTTCAAATAGGAAATCTTGTTAGTTACAAAACTTCTCCGGATTTCTTACAGTCCACAAAACCGTCTGCCTTGATTACGCCCTGCGAGCTAAATGAACGGTCAATCAAATTTAATGTCGGGTCCCAGTTTGACAATATACTTGATTTGTTAAAACCTTCGAATTTGTAGTTAGGGTAGCTGTTTATTTCAGCCTGCCATATGAGCTTATAATAGAGGTATAATGGCAATACTGTTACAAAGTCTGATCAGAGATTAAAAATTCTATAACTTTATAGTTTGATTGTGCCTTATTATATGAACCTACATAATTTCTGTATGTTACCCCGTTCCAATGCAATTATTTGACAGCGTCTTACCTTATGTCAAGAACTGAGAAATAATGTGTAGTAAACTTTATGGAAGTATAATGCATGCGGCATACAACGCAGTCTTTGTTCATATAACTCACGCGCTTACTATACAAACTCTTATAATTTTTGGCTGGTAAATAAAGGATCGATTATATTATAATAAATATTTAAGGGGGTTCCATTACAACAAAAGTGATTTTTTGCTCGTTTTCGGTACGGAATCCTTCGTGCGCTAGTCTGAACTTAACGTTTATGTAATTTAGAATATTCGATAAAAGGATATATAATTAGGTAATAATTTTACTTACGTTCATAATTAAACGTTACCTCAGAATTTATAACAAAAAATTTAAGAATTCAAATTTAAAAACCTTTATACAAAAGATCTGTTTAAGCTAAAGTCGAGTACGTTTGGTAATTTTTACTGAATACTGAAATAAAAAAAATATTGCGATTATAATTATTTGTTTATTTATCACCAGGTGCTGTCATCGTGCGGGCCGATGTCGGTGTCTTTTTTCACTGTGGTGGTGTTTTTTGGTTCGTTCTATCTCATCAACCTGATGCTGGCCGTCGTCGCGCTCAGCTACGAAGAGGAGTCGCAGATCACACAAGAGGTTCGAGCATTTATGTCTATCGGCATATTGGAATTGTCAACTGATATGCCCAAAATTGGGAACTGTTATTTTTTCAGAAATCAGCACAACTTATATATGAGATATGTTTATATAAACTATCTTAATTTCTGAAAAACGATGACCACTCGGCTGCGGAGGTCTTCGGGGTTTTGTGGCATAATTATTGGAAGTATTTGTTTTGTTATTGTTATTTATCTAGAGATTTTATAAACAAAACTTAGCTAACAGTGTTCCAATAACAAAAATCCGACGACCTCCGTAGCCGAGTGGTTCATACGCCGGTTTCAAGGTGTCACCATCTCTAAGGTCCCGGGTTCGATTCCTGGTCGGGTAAATGTATAAATTGGTGTTTACTATTGTGTTTGCCTCGGGTCCGAATGTTGTGTTGTCCGAATGTTCTTCTTTGCCACAAATTTTCCATAATATGAGGGATTTCGCTAGTCATCTTAGAATCGGAGCAATGTATATGATGTTGTCTAATATTTATTTATTTCTAATTGCATAAACACTTTCATTAATTATGCCACAAACAATAACACTTATACGTATAATTAAATGATAATAATTACAAAATTAACATTTTTGTACATAACATAAATAATCTAATATGTACATAAATCAAAAAGCTATACAAACATCGTGTATCAAATCAAAGCATCAGTATTCCACATTCACATTCATGAAAGTGTTCTATTGAAACACACAATAACTACACCATAAAAACAACGATATTGTTTGTGAAAATAATCCCGGATTGAAAAGGTGCGGAAGCTTCCACGGCTCCTTTTACATTTCAAATCGAAATATATCGGCTACTGTGGAAATACTAAATATTGAAACGAGATTTTCAGTTTACCAAAATGCCTGTTAATAAATGGATTCTATCCATTGATAAAATATTTAAACTGAAATATACGAGAATCATTATTCTCGTATATTTCAGTTTAAATATTTTTAACAAACACCTTTTCCTAAAAAAATATTATTATAACATTCTCTTGTAAATAATGAAAATACGTTGGTACGTACGTGTCCTTTAATAAAATGAGTTCTTCCGGTGACGAAAATAATAAAATTAATCATAGTTTCCTTAGAATTTTACTTAAAATTAAATCAGATAGTTTAAATTTATTTTTTTGCAATCAGTAATATACACGTAAAATATATTACTTAAGTACAAAAGAATTATTTAAAAGTAATCTCAGATCTTGTTCGTTGCTCTCGTAATCTATCACCTTTTCCTAACTTGGGCCCAGTTTCAGAGGTTTCCGAAAATGAGCCTGAGAATCAATACGATGTTCTGCTTTTATCGGAAGTTTAATTCATGAATTTAGCTGCTGCTTGAATTATTTAGAACGTAGGTAACATAACAAGCTGGAATTTATTATTTAATAGAATCAGACGTTATCTCGCAAAAGTCCATTACTATAACCATGGAACTAAGATATCTAGCAACTTTCACACTGAGTCAGTGTCCGCGCGCACAGACTTGCTGTGTACCGCCCTCACACAAATTCAAAATGCAACAAATATCGCAAAATCAGGAGTTGTTAGACTCCTGAAGATGCTCCGTGGAGGGGCTAACACGTGTAGAGTGGTGATTTAGAGTGATTTCTTGCCGTTCGTACTACTTTTGTATATGAATTTTGTATGCGGGCGATATATAGCAGATCTTGCGGATACTGACTGGGTGTGGAAGTTGCTAAATATCATACTTTCTCGATTATAGACTTTATATTTAGTATATTTAAAAAAGAATTCAATAAAAACTCTTCTACATGTTAAATCCTCAGGAAAGGAAAAAAGATCTAAATGAGCATCGCGATGACTCAACATTTAGTTTCGATCCGTCTTCTCTGGCTGTGCGAGCGCTAGCCAAAGATTCAAAGGAGCGCATGGACACCAGAAAGTGGCTTCTACTGGCATCCTACTCCAGGAAGAGGACAAGAAGACGCAAACGGGGCAGGAGTGCTATTCACCACGCGCCTGCTGTCGCAGCTGTTGCTGAAAGGTAAGTGATACGGGTATATGATTGTAAGTACTGTCCCCTTAAAGCACCCACTGTTTTGACCGCAGGAGTGCTAAAACCTCTACAAGAATCAAGGTCTGCTGATAAATATCAATGGATATATACCAATTGATATATACGTTGATATTGATATATATATCAAGTGGGCAGTGGCTTTATTATGTTATGGCTTTACCTTATAAATCGCAGCTTTTGATATGCATGATACCTATATATTATTGATTTGTTTAAGAATCCTTTCATTATAAAATTCTCGTTATCATTTTAAAATAATGAATGATATTTGTATTTGTATAGGTTTGACTACCTATCAATCAATCAATCAATCAAAAGTCGTGTTTACTAAAATAGGCAACAGCATTTTAGGAAATGAAAAAAAGCTAATTCATATTATTGCATTGGCATGATAATTTTTCGACTTAGCACCCCATGCGTTATTACTATGATATTTATTCCATTATTAATCAACAAGACTCTTTTGAATATTCCATCTTTCATCCTACCATCTATCTATACAGGACTTCATTTAAGCCGATGGAAATGGATCTAGTTACTCAATATTTTATTGCATAAAACATTTGTATGGACCCTTACCACTCTTGACTACTCTAATTGAATATTCGAATGCTCTCATTGACGTCATGTGAAGAGCCCACCTATGTAGTGAGTGGGTTATCGATCAATTCAGTATTAAGGATGCGACAGCGACAGAGATTGCGGATCGAATAATATCAAAAAATTTGCTAACCAGTTTTTTCGAAAATGCTCGCTCAGAACGGAATCGTGTTCCAAACTTTAGACCGAAATGCCGAACTTCTTACGTCGGCTCATTGGGATCTATATGTTTTCAAAAACGAATGATTACTTTTCATTGACATAAAGTTGCAAGATAGAATATGTATAGAGTTGTTGACAATATGTACAAATAAGACGATATAACAATCAATTGAAGGATAATCTGTAAGCGAAATTAAACAGTATTTTAAGGAATCAGTTTGTTTATTTGATCAGAACTAAAATAGAAACAATTTCCAAAACAACGTAGAGCGTTCTTTACGAGGTTTAACTATTGAGCAGTTTCCGTGGGTTGGGGAGCGACATGGAGTATCTACTCGTCGTTTATTAATCGTAGAAAACCACCGGAAATGTAAATAATAAGACCATATATTTATGATTACAAATGAGCGAAGTAATTTCGCGAATGTCAAGAATAACGGATACAAATACGCGATTTTACACTGACCTGCGTCGATGTTTCGGCCGGGTTGCACTAAGTTCTACGCCTTAGGAGCAGCAAGTCTACGCCTCTGCATCCGAGGATGAATCTTCTTCCACCCTCAGATTTTTCATCCAACTACCGTCACTGCCAATCTATGGAAAGGACTTGCTTGATTTGTGCCCCTTTCCAGTAGGTGTTCCGCAATGGCAGACTTACTCAACTGTCTTTGTCGGTCTACTTTATCGGTGTGCGTTGGTAAACACAGTGTGTTAACGATCTTTCCGCTTCCATTTCGTATGTAAACTGAATATTCGGGGGAATGGAGCTAAGATAGTTAAGGAGTTGATCTTCTTCCTGTTGGCCACCCCTGACCACGCTAAATACGTCATCTACATACCTCTTCCAAATCTTCACTATACTAGAGACAGATTATAGCGCCTTTTCTTTAAAATGCTCCATCCAAATGTTGGCAAGTACTTGGGCCACTGGAGTTCCCATTGCCACGCCATCAATTTGAAGGCAATATTGACCTTGGAAGAGGCTGTATAATATATATCTTTTACAACAGACGGTGTTTTTTTTTTCCACAAGTAGCTGCAATACTGACGCAATGTATTTTGCAAGATCATAAGTGGTAGAAGAAAATTGACTTACGCAGAAAATTGATCATTCGCAGTGGCACATTGGACTTGTGTATTTTGGGCATACCATGAAACTTCGGTGGTTGATGGGCCTTGGGCTTATAGAGCTTCTAATACTCGTCTTCACTAAATCGGTCCTTGTTCTCAAGTATGGCAGAACGGATTCAACGTGTTACTCTAGCTGTCGAGTTCTATGAGACCGCTTTGTACACCTTTTTATCACTTAGCAAACCCTATACCTTCCTCTGGTATTTACTGGTATTCATCACTACAGTGGCGTTACGTTTTAACATATAAATAATCTATAGCTCGCTAGTTGCATATGACCTGGAGAGTTGGATATTGTTAAAAAGTGGGGCTTACAAACCATCCGATTCATCGCATTTGGTTTGCTCCAACTGGCGGATAAACTTTTTTAATAACCACGGAGTTTTTATGTGTAAACAATTCGCTCGACTTTTTACCGGACACAGCTAATTATAAAATCGATACTAACATCAATGTTTGAATTCGACAACTAAAGTCGTGCAACTTTATAAAATACTATGACAATACCACAATGACAGGCCCAGCGTAAAATTGGCAAGATAAAAGCCTATTAATATAGGGACACAGGCGTTCTAATGAATGGAATCGAATAGGGAGAATGAGACATGGCTCACCGTGGGTCCACTGTGGATTGGTGGGTGGGTGTTAACGACAGCAGATGTAGCCGGGTCCAAAGTCTTCTTTAATATGAAGGAACTCGAGATTATACATTTTTGGTCACCCATCCTATGACCAGCCCTCGTGCTTAATCCTCATCGCAGACCAATAACGCTGACCACTGTGCTCACGAGCTCCTCAATTATCCCAAAACCGGAATTATATTTGCCCGCATCGCCTTCAACTAAGACACGGACTTGAATAATTCGACTTTTATTATGCTTATAAAACCCTTGCAATGCTATTGGAGTAACGAATTCTTGGGTGTCGATATCTATACTTATAATAAATCTGTAGAGAGGTCAATTCTGTATATGAAATATTTCCAAAATAACTATCAGGGATTAGGGATCGATACTGAAGCAAAAAATGCAATCAGTAAAATTTTTGTCTGTTTGTCTGTCTATCTGTATAACCGTTATAGAAACAAAAACTACTCGACGGATTTTAACGAAACTTGGTACAATTATTTTTCATACTCCCGAGCTGGTTATAGTATACTTTTCATCACGCTACAATTAATAGGAGCAGATCAGTGAAGGGAAATGTTGGAAAAACGGGAGAAGTTACTTCATTTTTTAAACTTCCGTCGCGTGTGCAACCTTAATGGTTAAAGCTACCCAGAAATCATGTATGACGAAAATGTTCTCCTAAAAATTATATAAAAGTTTGTTTGTTTGAACTCGCTAATCTCAGGAACTACTGGTTCGAATTGAATAATTATTTTTGTGTTGAATAGACCATTTATCGAGGAAGGCTTTAGGCTATATAACATCATGCTGCAACTATTAGGAGCGAAGAAATAATGGAAAACGCGAACGAAGTCGCTGGCGGCCACTAGTCACCAATAAAAGTGAAGCTATGTTGTTTTAGTATATTTTGTAGTCGTAAATTGAGGCAGAGGGATCTAAACCATGCAGACTAGATATAGGTTACATTAAAATTAGTACCTGTTTTTTCGTTCTCTTAAAATTAAACCCTAGTTTAAGTTTGAAATATAAGTAGTTACTTAGATGGATTTATCGCCACAGCAAACTCCCTGCATACAGAATTTCATTAAAATCGTTGTATTTGTTTCGATATCCAGATTTTATATGTACATTAGGTGTATTCAACAGCTCACTTTTAATTTTTTTTTCCGTATATATTCCTCTTTGTAAGTTTTTGTTTATAAACCGTCCTGCTGAAGCCAACTTAACAATAAAAACCTACACCAAATAACAGGTTTAAATAGGATTCGTTTAAGATTTTATTTTTCTTAATTTTGTTATATTTGTAAACAAAACACTATCAATAAATATCTATTCTTTTCTAATATCTCATCAACTGCTTTTCGTTGCCAACTTGATTCTTTACAATAAAAAATCAATATAGCGAGCTAAGAAACACAAGTTTATCTCTCACGAGCGGCTTGTTTTCAATGGTCGTTTGTGTTAAATGATTACACCATGTAACCGCTGTAACGGGCCACCCTTTTGTTCATTAAAGAATAAATCATTCCGATCCTTTATAGGAACTCTATTATGTAAGGTATAAGGTATTATATAAAAAATATTAGAATGTACATTTTATTAGCTTCTTCAAAAGCCTTTGAGCATTCAACATAAAAACATTTGTTTATGGCTCCATCTGTAATCGTTAACACCCATTGTCCTCTCTGTGTGATTCACAGATAATACCTCTGCTATTCTTTTAAAAATACAACGTCGAACGCGACTTCGAACACAGCTCTGTTGTAGCATTAGAGGTTCAATTTACTTTTGTTAATAATCAAATGGGTCAAATATGACGCAGTTCTGTCAAATGCCACGGATGTCATAGTTAAAGTTTACTCTCTTACAGTATTTTTTTTATGTAATATGAACTTAGCAAATGTTTGTATTAAGAATCAGTGTAGATAGATAATAAATGGATTTCTACTTAATTTTTGATAACCACGAAAAAAACATAAATCCGTAGACCATGGGACTCGAGACAATTATATAAGCCCATAGCGTACCTTTTTATCATAGACTTTATAAACATTATTTACCTATAAAATAAAGAAACACTTACATAGTATTATAAATACAAAAGTTTATAGCTTTTCTTTCCAACAAGATAATAATATAAGCAAAAAGTTCATTCTTTTAAATTACATTAACAATGTCTCAAGTTTCGGATGAGCATCAAGTTAAGCTTTCGGAGAACTAGAGGTTCCTTCTTAATGAAACGTCGACGACCGTATCTTGTTACAGCTCGCTAAATAAATAAACTGGTTCAGTTAACGTTAAGTGACACTGCTGACGTCACCAAACAGCTTTAAGAATGCAGAAAACTTGTTACGCTAATTATATCCAGACGTTATATCAATAAGACATCCTGAATTCATCATCCTATTATTGTCCCATAAATGGGACAGGCAATTCTTACATATG